AGCCTGGATCAGGGGATTATTAGTGACATTGCCTGCCTACCCTGACTCTTTCAAATGAAAGAGTAAAACATAAGTATGGTAGATTGCAAGAGCTTTTAAAAAAGTAAATAGCTAAAGTTTTTTCATTGGTCTCTGAGGCAGAGGCAAGAGATATTATCATGAGAATATGGTTGCAGCATTGCAAAAATATTTCATCAGTTTTCATTGTAGGAGAGAAAAGTAACAAACCAGAAATGTAGGGTAGTCTGTAAGCATGAAAACTTGCATTAATTACTATCAGCAGAAATACTTGAGGGATTAAAATCTGACAAATCCCCAGGCTCTGGTTTACCTACATCCTAAGATTCTAAAATAGTTAGCTACAGAGATGGTAGATGCACTGGTCATGATTTTCCAAACTTCCTTGGGTTCTGTAACAGTCCATGTGATTTTGAAGTTAACAAAGGAACTCTGCTAATGAAGAAAGGGAGAAAGATAAAATGATGCAGTACAAATCTGTTAAGTTGACATTGTTATCAGGGAAAGCAATCAAATCCCTTTTACTAAGGAACTTACCTGTCAAACTACATTCTTTTTAAACATAAGAAATTGTGCTTGTACAAAAGTGAAATCATCTTGACAAATTTGTTAGCAATTTTTGTTTGAAGTTCAAATGTTAAGATAGACAAAGGGGAGCGGGTAGCTGTTGTATATTCAGACATACTATGAAACATCTCTGAAGCAGTGAGACTTGAACCCAGGCCACCTTGTTCAGAGGTGGGGATTAACCACTGCATCACAAGTGGCTGTTGAATTTTCAAAAGGCAATTTGAGATGATATCCAAAAGTTTAATATACTCGATAAGAGCTCATGGAGTTGTAAGTAATCCATAAAATGGATGAAGGATTGACTGAAGCGCAGGAAGCAAAACATAGGGATACATTGGATATTTTAACATTTTTAGGCTGTGATCAGTGGAATACTGCAAGGATTGATGCAAGGGCATTGGCTATTTACAATGTATGTCAATGACTTTGGTGAAGGGCTGAGTAAAGTATGCAACTTTTGTATCAGCAAATTTAACTCGAGACTGTGAAGTGACATTTACAAGTTGAGTAGGTATCAAGGTGGCAAATGGAATGTGATATGGGGGGATCAGAAGGTTATTCACTTGGTAGTAAGACAAAACACATGAAACTTGAAAGTTTTGGTTGGATTTGCACAAGGAACACATGAAATAAGCATGCAGCTGCAGCGAGCAATTAGGAAGGCAATTTTTAAGGCAAAGTCTTTCATGAGCTATGGCAATTCTTGGCACACCCAAAATTTGTTGCCCAACTCTTTATTTCCCTTGTAACTGTAATGGCCTAGAAAGTCACAATTCATCAACCACACTTCTGTGGGTCTGGAGTCTGATGTAGGCGAGACCAGATAAGGAGGAAAGTAAAGAACAGTAGTAAATCTACAACTTGGACATGTAAATTTGGGATAAGGAGTCAGTCATTTGAGACTGAAGATTAGAAATGACTTACAAAAACAGGAGTTGCTGGAAAAGCTCAGCAGGTCTGGCCGCATCTGTGAAGGAAAAAAAAATCAGCCAATATTTCGGGTCCAGTGACCCTTCCTCGGAACTCCCTGGACCCATAACGTTAACTCTGATTTTGTTTCTTCTTCGGATGCGGCCAGACCTGCTGAGCTTTTCCAGCAACTCCTGTTTTTGTTCCTGATTTACAGCATCTGCAGTTCTCTGGTTTTTATTAAAAATTACATCCTTGAAAGACTTGAGTCTTTGAAATGGCAAATTGTGCATGCTTTATTACTTAACATCTTTAAAGCTTAGAGATGCTTGGTTTCTAAGAGTCCAGAGATACAGGGAACAGGTAGCTAGGTGGAGTTCAGGCCAATGATCAGCACAGCAGGCTTGAAGAACGTTATAAAATTCAATTGCTCTTATTCCTCATAGAATCATAGAGTCCTTACAGTGTGAGAGCAGGCCATTCGGCCCATCAAATCCACACTGACCCTCTGTAGAGCACCCCACTCAGACCACCCTCTACCCCATCCCTGCATTTCCCACCCTAGACACTATGGGCAATTTAGCATAGCCAATCCACCTTGCTTGCACATTTTTGAACTGTGGGAGGAAACTGGAGCACCTGGAGAAAACTCTCACAGGCACTAGGAGAGTCTGCACACTCCTCAATTCACCCAAGGCTGGAATCAAACTCGGGTCCCTGTCCCTGTCGCTGTGAGGCAGAGGTGCTAATCACTGAGCCACCGTGCTGCCTATGTTCACACTAGTGCCATTCAATTGTTGTTTCGTTCTAAGAAGTAGTTTTGTTCTAAGAAACAAGTAGTTCTGAATGGGACAGTATTCTGTACTCCTGATGTTTGAAGCATTTTGAATGTAACAAGACAGTTGTGTAGTTACTTGATATGAAAAATGTATCTGACTTAAATTAGGTGTAGTCTTCACATGTACTGTTTTAAGCATACAGTGTAGAATCTGAAATGTGGGGAATTATGCAAAATTATTGTGAACTAAGTCAGTAGTTCTGCATACACAAAAACAAAGTTGCTGGAAAAGCTCAGCAGGTCTGGCAGCATCTGTGGAGGAGAAAACAGTTAACGTTTCAGGTCTGGTGACCCTTCCTCGGAACTGATAGTGGCTGGGAAGATGTCAGTTTATATGCAGAAAATAGGGAGATGGGTGGGGTAGGGAGTAAATGATAGGATAGAGCCCAAAGAGAGAGAGAGACAGTTGGACAGTCAAAGGAGTTGCTAACGATCAGGCTGGGAGGGTGAATAATTGTTAATGGGGACTGTTAGTGACTAACAACAGGTGGTGTGTAGTGGCAGGCTATGTGGTAACAAGGCCTGGTGTGTGGATTGGGGGTGCTGGGACATGGGAGAATTTAGGCCCTAAAAATTATTGAACTCAATATTGAGTCTGGAGGACTGTAGGGTCCCCAAGTGGAAAAATGAGGTGTTGTTCCTCCAGCTTGCGCTGGGCTTCACTGGAACACTAGCAAGCCGGAGACAGAGATAACAAGGTGTAGAGCTGGATGAACACAGCAGGCCGAGCAGGAAGGCTGACGTTTCGGGCCTAGACCCTTCTTCAGAAATTAAAGGGTCTAGGCTTGAAACGTCAGCCTTCCTGCTCCTCTGATGCTGCTTGGCCTGCTGTGTTAATCCAGCTCTACACCTTGTTATCT